TCAGCCGCTGTTGAAACTGATCAGTTTCAGCAGCGGCTGAATCTGGACGCCAGTTCCGACTTACATACAGATTCAACTTAAGAACAAACCTACAGTCCCTATCTTGTACGTAACCAGGGGACTGCCTGTATCTTAATAACAGGCTGCTTACCCGCTCTTTAATAGCTGCTAAGTAAATCAGACTTGTTTCATGTTTATAAAATGTTCTCCTATCTACTACTTTGTTCAACGTTTTAATTTCACAAATCGCTTGAAAAATAAGTCTTTGTCAGGGTACACTGTATTCCTGTGAATTGTTGATAATTGCAAAGATGGTTTAACTGGCACATTAATATTCCCACTAGGTTGAGCCAAGTAAGAGAATTTGACCAATATTAACATAGTACTTACAGCGCTTTTCAACTTCAGAGTTCTTTTCATTCAGCTGATTAATTCTTATAACATCCCCATGAGTAGTTAAGTATTCCCATATCTCTACAGTGGGGGAAGCCAGAACAGAATACTAAAATGCCTTGTCAGTACCGTTGGGGCAAATATTGCAATAAAGATGAAGATTCAGGAGTTTCAGACTCCCAGGCTTTGCTTGCTCCACTAGATTATGCCCCTCTCTCAATAACATTCATCTCACGTGAGGTAGTCTGGTAGAATGCATTGATATTTCAAAGATGTTCACTATTAGCAGTATTTTAAAATGTCTTTCTGCTTGTGGGCTTTTTTGTGTGTGAAATTACAAAGAATGTAGCTAAGTTCTGCAAAGCAGTACTATTTATTAACAGAGTATTTGAAAATAATTGTACTTCACTGAAGGTACTTGTACATTCAAGTGGCTGCTTTACTAATGTTTAAAGAAGAAAATCAGGTATTTGCTGATGATGATTGTGTAGCTTTCTTTAGGGTTGGGTCAATAAGTTGACTCTGGATAGGATTCCCTCCCTTAGGCCTCAATCTGCAAAGTGCTGAATTCCCATAGCTCCTTCAGAAATCACTGGGAATTGAGCGGTACTCAGCACTTATAAGATGTGCTCCACTTTGCAGGATTGAATCCCTGCAGTGATGTTGCAGTCAACAATTCTCTATTTTAAATTAATTTATTTGCCTAATAATTTTGTCATAAAACACTGGTACTGGTGCCAAGTATCTGTAACTTGGGATTGGCAACAGGAGTTGTGGATGCTAAACATCTCTTCATATCCAGCCTCATCACTGTCTGACACATGTATGGGGATGCTTTGTGGTTCTGTATAGGGATGTTCAATAGTAGTTAATTGAATCCTCATGAATTCTTATCGATTAGTTGACTGTTCTATAGTCCCCCAGGGCGGGGCCAGCAGACAGTGCATTCTGGCCTCACTCCCAAGGAGCCTTCTGCCACTCTACGCCGCTGCCTCTGTATTGGACGCAGCAGTGTGGGATGCCAGTAGGGTTGCTAGCTGTCCAGTTTTCACCTGGACAGTCCGGTAATTGAGTCTTCTGTTCGGTAAAAAACAAAAAATACCAGTCTGATTTTCCCTGGCGGGGGCAGGGGAAACACAGAAATTTAAAGGTGCAGCGACTTTTTTTTTTATGCTCAACAAGTTTGGTCCCCTACCCCCGCCCCTTTTTTGTGTTTTGGTTTTTTTTGCTCAACCAATTTTTTTCCCTGGCATGTTTGGGATTTTTTTGTGAAGGTATCTGGCAACCCTAGATGCCAGGCAGGAGCTGGTCTGCGAGGAGTGCCAGTTGAAAAACAAGCTCCCCTTGTGGATCAGCTGCCTGTTGTCCTGTGCTGCTGCTTCTGATAAAGAGGCAGCAGTGCGGTGGTAGCAGCAGCTTCTGTCTGGGGTGGGGTCTGAGCTTCCGGACCTGGTGTGAGTTGAAATTAAACCGGACTGCCTTTCTGCACGCCTGGCTCCTAATACACTTTAAATACAGAGCTACAGTGGGGGTAGGTCCCAGACCCATTGCAAGCCAGGACTGAGGCTGGCTTCTGGCCAGCCTGCTAAAAAAATTACTGGGGGGGGAGAGATGGAGGGGAGGGAAATGCATGTAAAAACAACCCTATAAGCTTTTGTTTATCGTTTAATCGACTACGCTATTACATCTCTAGTTTTGTACACCAGGCCAGCCTATTTTTATGAAGGAGCAAAAATACTATTTTAAAGGGAATTGGTTTATACTAAATGATCAAATGATGTTTATAGGGGCTTCAGATGACACACATTCAGGAGCTGATTGCTTAGTGTTTGATCTGTTTTTCAGATCTAGTCCAAAAGGCCAAAAAAGCAAAGAAGAAGCTGCTGAAACGCGAAGGCGATGACCGAACTGATACTGGGACTCAGGAGCGATATGAATCTTTCAGCTATGGTGGAGTAGATCCATATATGTGGGAGCCCCAAGAACTGGGTAAGGAAACAGGAAAGCCATGTGTGATGGGACAGATTTTCTGGTAACACTCAGTACAATCCAATTGATTTCAGTGGAGTTGCACAGATTGTAAATTCATAGATTTTGGTGCATGATGTAGAGAGGTGATGCTTTGTGTATTTTTTTATTAAACTAAGGCAATTGGGTAATATTTTAGAAAACAGATGTTACTATGTCCTTGAAACACACAGCACGGATTTGGAGTATGGGTTGGAGGGTGTCTTGTACCCAGTATCCTGTTATGGTTACAGTTCCCAAGGGCACTCTTGCTGTTGGGTCTGGGATGAAAACCCAAAGGGACTGGTGACACACCTACACCTCTGAAACTGTCCCTCTGATCTGCTACAGTTTTACAGTGTATTGTACTATTAAGTTAGGATTATTTTTGTCTACAGAGAGACCTATATTTTGTACATGGTTCTTGGCTTGCACTAGTATGAGGAGGTGAAGCCATAGATGCTGTTACAGGTTTATAAACAAATATTTGTAGTGTAACCTCAGCATTGATTTTTTTGCTCCATCTGTAGCGTTGCAGGAAAAAAATCATCGTGTCATGATTTGTCCATATCTCTTGGAATAAAATATGAATCAGTAGCAAAGAAACATCTTGAGCAATGCTGAATTGCACTTTTCTTGAAGTGATTATGAAATGTTGATATCTCTCTCGTGCGTGTGTGTGTCTGTCTCTCTCTCTCTCTCTCTCTCTCTCTCTCTCCAATTTGAAATCCTTGCAGGGGGAAAAAAGGAAATGAGAAATCTGAAGGAGGAATTACAGCAGCACTCATTTTTAATATTAAAATTTGACAGCTTTGCTCCCAATTCCAGCAATAATCAGCAAATGAAAAGGAAGTAACTCTTGAAAAGTAATACATTTAGTAAGCTATTGTTGACTGGTAATAGAGATCAAGAGGGTAATCGCAAGAGTTGTGTTGCTTTTTCTGTCTTTAAAGTAATTATTGTAATTTTAGAAATAAAGTGCTCTGTTTATCACTAAAACCAGCCTACAGATAAGAGGTGTAATTTACATTTATATTCAAGGCTTCTAATCTCTCTCTAAAATTCCATTTGAACCTGAGTAGCAAACAATGTGAAAAGAGATTAAAGTTTCCTTTGAATCTGACATTTACAAGGTTATGTGATGGAATCTGGAGATTTTCCTAATCTGTTTTGTCTCACCAGGTGCCATGAGGAGCCATATTTCTGATTTCAAGAAACACCGAGCAGCCAGGATTGATCATTATGTTGTTGAAGTCAATAAATTAATAATCAGGTTAGAGAAGGTAAGTTGGTTACTTCTAAATTATTCCTGTGAATGTATGGAAGACTGGATGTAAAATCCTTGTTTGCATCTAAAATGTGCATGATTTGTGCAATGCCCATGCTGTTTCAGAAATGTTGGAGATTTAACCATAAATATTTGGTTTCCTATACAGTCTTCTTTTTGGCTCTCATTTTCCTGTGTGTCTTGCACTTGGCCAAATCCTGGTCCATTTTTAATTAATGCCCCTCTTCTGTGTTAAGAACTTCTATTTATCTGTGGGCTAAGCATCATCTCTTTTATTATTTTCTTCTAGTTTTGCAGTGCTAAGCTCCTTCCTCATACTGTCTGTTTCTTTTTTGCATTTAATCTTTTATTATTCATATTTTCTTGTGGGTCTTGTTTCATGGCTCTAGTTTATTTCTGTCTTTTCATAGAAACAGTGATATAATGGGTGCTGTAGGAAGAATACACAGGCTCTTGTAAACAATCTGTTGTATTCATTATATTCATGGGGTTAGTGTGAGCTCCTCAGGTCAGGCATCTGGCTTATGTATATCATGTACTGTTTATCGTAGTGTTGATGTAGAAATAATGGGAAAGTGCAGGTTGCTGTAAAGGAGAGAGTGCCTTTTTAGTACACAAGAGAATTCTGTCAAGGCTGAGAGGTCCAAGTTGTTAAAAATGCCATTCCTGAGGCCTGTAAATATTGTCTTAGTTAACCTGAAGTTGACCTGATTAACTTCTCTGTGTTTCCTTTTCCAGCTTACATCATTTGATAGAACAAATACAGAGCCAGCTAAAGTAAGAGGTTGGTACAGGCTTACATTAAACTAGCTTTGCTGATGCTTCACACCAGCAGATAATGGATTTCATAGTTGTTCTATGGTCAGTTTTTGTGTGTATGTTTCCCCATGAACAGCTATAGAGAAGTCTGTTGTGCCTTGGGTCAATGATCAGGATGTACCATTCTGCCCTGACTGTGGCAACAAATTCAGCATTCGGAACAGACGTCACCATTGCCGCCTTTGCGGGTCCATCATGTGCAAGAAATGTATGGAGCTTGTCGGCCTTCCGTTGGCGAGTGAGTACAGTGGGCAGATGTGAGTCACACCTCTCCTCCTCTTTAACAACAGCTACTAAAGATGTTGAGCTTTTTCAGTCTGAGCTGCTTGTCTGTTGGCATCAAAAGTTCCTGTCCATGATTCTCCTCTTGGCATTCCCACGATTTCTCAGAATGGCACAGTAGAATTTCTTGAATATTAGTACTCTTCATTCCTGTAACACCTTTCATCCAAGGAGGTCAAAAATGTTTTATAAACATGAATGCAGTAAGTCTTACTGCAGGCTAGATAAGTGTAAAACCTAGGTAAACTGAGGACTAGAATCCAGATTTCTTGATTCCAAGGAATTTGCTCTGACAGTGACACCATAACTTTTTTTAGCAGCTACAGCACCTGATAACTTTGGTTAAAGAGGACAGATGGTTGTTGCAGACCTTATATGTTCCTTTGCTAGCACTTAAGAGAGCAGTACAAGGAAAACAGATGGATAGTATTATGAAACATTTAGCTATCAAAGTTGTAATGAACTCATTAACATGACTGAGAGAAATACTATCCTCCCTTTTATTAATTAAATATTGACGATTAGTCCGTAAAATCACTTGATCAGCATTGTTCTTGATCATACATGTCAGTTTATTTTCCTGTATGTCTTCAGGCACATGCCATATAGGTCCAGAGAGGATGCCCCATTACTTTAATTAGGAATATTAAAATAATCTTGATAATTGTTAATTGTATGTGTGAGTCTTACAACTCAAGGTCCTCACCTATCCAATTAGCTGCCTTTGCTTGCTTACAGTAGGTGGATGTAGGACATCCCAGTAGCTAGTTCCTGCCTCCCTAATAAGTTGTTTTCCTTTATGAAATTTGTAGAACATGTGTATTTGTTTGGTCCCAATGGGTGGATACATCTAGATTACATCCCTCTTTCGACAGAGGGACGTAAATTAGGCACTTCAAAATTGCAAATGAAGCTGGGACTTGATTTTCCTGTGCTTCATTTGCATAATCACATAATGGTGTTCTTTCGAAAAAGCACTCTTTTGAAGGTAAAACCGCGGACTAGACGCGATTCTTTCGAAAAGGGAAGGCTTTTTTGAAAGATCCTATAATCCTTGTTTACAAGTTCTTTCGAAAAAGCCTTCCCTTTTCAAAGAACCATGTCTAGTCTGCGGTTTTACCTTCAAAAGAGCGCTTTTTCGAAAGAACACCATTATGTGATTATGCAAATGAAGCACAGGAAAATCAAGTCCCAGCTTCATTTGCAATTTTGAAGTGCCTAATTTACGTCCCTCTGTCGATGAGAGAGTAGAATATTCATTGCCTTTTGGGCATTACAGAATCTTTTGTGTGTGACTTTCAGGCAAACTCACCAGTGCCAGCAAAGAGGCCCTGGCCTCTCATATTAGTCCAAACTCCTCACCTAACAGTATCCATGGCTCCCGTCGTGGTAGCATTAGCAGTGTAAGCAGTGTGAGCTCAGTTCTGGATGACAAGGACGATGACAGAATCCGCTGCTGTAGGCACTGTAAAGACACCCTACTCAAAAGAGAGCAACAAATTGATGAGAGAGAATACACACCGGATATTGTGAAACTCTATGAGGTAAAATAAAATCTAGTACCTGTTCGGGGGGGCGGGGTATATGGAGGATGGTATGGAACTATACATAGGAAATGTTCACCACTTGGTCCATGATTTATTCTTCCTCACTGATGTTCCATGTCTGAACTGTTTATTGTACACCTTACTAGGAAAAGGGAATGCAGGGTGGTGGTGTCTGTCCACTAGCTCTGGGATAAGAATGTCTGTAGGACTGTATAATAATTGGTTCCTTGTCTCTAACCTGATGATGAAGCATCTCACTTTGTGACCTGCTTTATCTAATCATCTAGAATCAGTAGTTTTGAGGTGACTCCCAAATTAACATAAGAACATAAGAACGGCCGTACTGGGTCAGACCAAAGGTCCATCTAGCCCAGTAGCCTGTCTGCCGACAGTGGCCAGCGCCAAGTGCCCCGGAGGAGGTGGACCGAAGACAATGATCAAGCGATTTGTCTCGTGCCATCCATCTCCAGCCTCTGACAAACAGAAGCCAGGGATACCATTCTGGTCTTCCTCAGCTGGGTTGCTCATAAAATCCATTTTTTAAATATGTGTGTGTGTACATATTTGTATGTCTGCACTACATTGATGGATTGTACAGAATCTTGATGTTTTTAACTGTTGCTTGTATGGGACCTGGAGTGCAGTTGGACAGGATGGCCCAGGAAATTAGTAATAGGATATAACCCTCTTTCAGTTCTAGATTATGGGTTCAAATACAGTCCAAGCCAATAATGACTGAAAGCCATAATATCATGGCTATTTAGTGGTGTCTATAAAATGAATTAATGGGTTTTAGTTCAGTTCACAGTGGCTAACTGTGAATATCACACATTGGAACACCAGAGTTAGCACTAATTGGTTCTCTTATCAGCAATCTTAGCAGAGAGGCCAAGGACTGAAGAAGTCATGATGACAGATATACTTCATCCATCTTAGAAATGGTCTCTTAACTTGGTTCAGTAGTGGGGCAGTGAATGAAAACTTGCTGTGCTACTGCATATGCTGCATTTGTTGTGTGCATGAATAGAGGACCTCATTGTCTTAGGTAGTCAATTTGATAGCATTCGTTACCACTGAATTCTCACATGCATGTGCATATGCCCCAGATGAAGGGCTCTGACCAGACACATGGCTGGATTTTTATGTGAGGAGAGTATTTGTATAGCTAACATGGGAGAACTGCATTTTAATCTCTTGATTTTGATTACTTAAACAAGAAACTCCGACTTTGCATGGAGAAGGTTGACCAGAAGGCTCCACAATACATAAAGATGGCAGAATCATTAAAGTAAGCCTATGTGATTTTTTTCTTGCATGTCTTTTTTTTTTCTTCCCTAAAATGCTGATTTTAATACAAAGTCTACAGTAATGAAAACTGGCAAGCTGTTCTCTGTTGATTTGAGGACAGCCAAATATTAGACACTGAGATTTCATTATATCCAAATATAGGACACTGCTCAGTGGCTGAAGCTAAGCTAGTAAATGGGAATGTCCTAAATTATTAAAGCATATCTTACAGTTGACAGAAGTTTCATCTTTGGCTTAATTCTGGTAAGATTTCAAATGACACTGTGAAATGTCTGAAGCTAAATATAAATATCTCATCTAGGTGACACTGAGAGATATTTTACATCATGTTGACGTACAGTGTTTTAAACTATTACATGTTTGTGGAAACGAGGGAAGGGTGTTAGATAGAAGGTTTGATTTGGTGGATGTTTATGATGCAGTACAAGTGATGTTCTGGCCTTATTTAAGTTAGTGGAAGTTTAGCCACTGACTTGCAAGGATGGCAGTTTTTCTGCCTGCGAAGTCTGCATAGTTAGTACTTTATAGACAAGTACAATACATTCTGTCCCAAAGGGCTTTGACTCGAGGCTAGCTATGAGAAAGGAAGAGCTCCTGTACTATGTGAGAGGAGATCTCTGCACAGTGTATGTTCAGTATTAGGACCTGAGTTATTTCAGTCAATAGCAGTGGTATCAGGGAATGACAGTGCATGTTTTGTTCAGCATGGGCTCTGCATTGGAAATTGAACTGAAAATAAAAGGTATAAAGGTGTTTTCTGAAGGAGAAGGAAGCTGTATGCAAATGGGTTCAGGGAGACCATTTAGTGAAGGGGCAAAGTGTGGTGGTATTAAGTAAGGCTCCCTTTTCAATTATTTGAATCCATGTTACTTGGTACAGTATGCTATCTTTGCTGCTCTGAAGACTTTAGAGGATTACTGTAGTAAAAGTATGCTGTTATTGCAGAGCTCCCAGGACCTGGCTTGATCTGGGACTTAGCCGGGCTGTCTCCGTCGTCTCGTCCCCCCCCCCCCCCCCCCCCCGCAGTGGGAGTAGTTGCTGGACCCAGCATGAGCTGGGACTGAGTGCTATCCCTTATAGATTAATCATGTAGTTGACAAAAACTGTACTACACAATTAAGGAATTAAATGCTTCTTAGCATCCCTAATAACTAGATGAGCATATCAGGGTTTTGCTCCCAAATACAGTGTTGCTACATGGGAGTCATCTTTTTGACTCTCTGCAGTGGGAGTAGTTGCTGGACCCAGCATGAGCTGGGACTGAGTGCTATCCCTTATAGATTAATCATGTAGTTGACAAAAACTGTACTACACAATTAAGGAATTAAATGCTTCTTAGCATCCCTAATAACTAGATGAGCATATCAGGGTTTTGCTCCCAAATACAGTGTTGCTACATGGGAGTCATCTTTTTGACTCTCTTGTCTTTGTAAAGAGCATTGGGACCCTCAGCTGACCGGCTGTATAGTACTACAGTGTGCTGATTATAATACTCTCTCCCTACTTAACTACTATAAAATTTAAAAACCAAATGAATGAATTTATCATCTCAATAGGCATTTCCAGGAGCTTCTCTCGGGACATATTCTCTCTGATTTTGTGTATCTCTCATGTTTAGACTTTTCGCAAGGCTGTATTTGTATTCTCTGGTGGTACATATTAGATGTAAAGTATAGGGTAAACCTCACTAACTTGTGCTAATGACTGAAGACCCTTTTTGGAGCCTAGAATTTTTGCAAATTAGCAAATAAATTCACAAAGGCACTGACAAATCAAGGCTACTATGTCACTGTGTACTCAGTATTTTTAAATTTTGGCAAGCATAGTTGTATAATTTAATAATATAGTATAGCAATCACACCTAAAATAGTGTGGGCACTTTCCAGACATAAAGTGATGCAAATTTAATTATTTATACTTATAATACATACTAAACATTTAATTCTAATTCTAAAAACTGAATTTCAATAAAGAGATCTTGCTGGGGCATCAACAATAGTGCGTGTGTGCGTGCGTGCGCGTGCTGCCTCCAACTGATATCTCTATGGGATAGTGGCCCCGATCCAAAAAAGGTTCCCCACTCCTGCTGTAAACTCTTCTGTGAAATATTAGCATTCACAAATTAACCATTGTCTTCACTTTTGTAAATAAGAAATTTGTTTTCACTTGAGTTTAACATATAACACTCATCCTGAAATCTTATTAGCTGCAGTAGTCTTTTTATCTGACAGAAGAGATAGAATCATAGAATAATAGGACTGGAAAGGACCTCAAGAGGTCATCAAGTCCAGCCCCCCGCCCTCAAGGCAGGACCAAGCACCATCTACACCATCCCTGACAGATGTCTATCTAACCTGTTCTTAAATATCTCCAGAGAGGGAGATTCCACCACCTCCCTTGGCAATTTATTCCAATATTTGACCACCCTGACAGTTAGGAATTTTTTCCTAATGTCCAATCTAAACCTCCCCTGCTGCACTTTAAGCCCATTACTCCATGTCCTGTCCTCAGAAACCAAGAGGAACAAATTTTCACCTTCCTCCTTGTGACACCCTTTTAGATATTTGAAAACCACTATCATGTCCCCCCTTAATCTTCTTTTTTCCAAACTAAACAAGCCCAGTTCATGAAGCCTGGCTTCATAGGTCATGCTCTCTAGACCTTTAATCATTCTTGTCACTCTTCTCTGTACCCTTTCCAATTTCTCCACATCTTTCTTGAAATGTGGCGCCCAGAACTGGACACAGTACTCCAGCTGAGGCCTAACTAGTGCAGAATAGAGCGGCAGAATGACTTCACGAGTTTTGCTTACAACACACCTGTTAATACAACCTAGAATCATATTTGCTTTTTTGGCAACAGCATCACACTGTTGACTCATATTCAACTTGTGGTCCACTATGACCCCTAGATCCCTTTCCGCCATGCTCCTTCCTAGACAGTCGCTTCCCATCTTGTATGTATGGAACTGATTGTTCCTTCCTAAGTGGAGCACTCTGCATTTCTCCTTATTAAACCTCATCCTGTTTACCTCCGACCATTTCTCTAACTTGCTAAGGTCATTTTGAATTATGTCCCTATCCTCCAAAGAAGTTGCAACCCCACCCAGTTTGGTATCATCTGCAAACTTAATAAGAGTACTCTCTATCCCAATATCTACATCATTGATGAAGATATTGAACAGTACGGGTCCCAAAACAGACCCTTGAGGAACTCCACTTGTTATCCCTTTCCAGCAGGATTTAGAACCGTTAACAACAACTCTCTGACTACGGTTATCCAGCCAATTATGCACCCACCTTATCGTGGCCCTATCTAAGTTATATTTGCCTAGTTTATCAATAAGAATATCATGCGAGACCGTATCAAATGCCTTACTAAAGTCTAGGTATATGACATCCACCGCTTCTCCCTTATCCACAAGGCTCGTTATCTTATCAAAGAAAGCTATCAGATTAGTTTGGCATGACTTGTTCTTCACAAACCCATGCTGGCTATTCCCTATCACTTTATTACCTTCCAAGTGTTTGCATATGATTTCCTTAATTACCTGCTCCATTATCTTCCCTGGGACAGACGTTAAACTGACCGGTCTATAATTTCCTGGGTTGTTCTTATTCCCCTTTTTATAGATGGGCACAATATTTGCCCTTTTCCAGTCTTCTGGAATCTCCCCTGTCTGCCATGATTTTTCAAAGATCATAGCTAAAGGCTCAGATACCTCCTCTATCAGCTCCTTGAGTATCCTGGGATGCATTTCATCAGGACCTGGTGACTTGCTGACATCTAACTTTCCTAAGTGATTTTTAACTTGTTCTTTGTGTATCCTATCTTCTAAACTTACCCTCTCTCTGCTTGTATTCACTACGTTAGGCACACCTCCAGACTTCTCGGTGAAGACCGAAACAAAGAAGTCATTGAGCATCTCCGCCATTTCCAAGTTCCCTGTTACTGCTTCTCCCTCCTCACTAAGCAGTGGGCCTACCCTGTCCTTGGTCTTCCTCTTGCTTTTAATGTATTTATAAAAGGTCTTCTTGTTTCCCTTTATGCCTGTAGCTAGTTTGATCTCATTTTGTGCCTTTGCCTTTCTAATCTTGCCCCTGCATTCCCGTGTTGCTTGCCTATATTCATCCTTTGTTAGTTGTCCTAGTTTCCATTTTTTATATGACTCCTTTTTTATTTTGAGATCATGCAAGATCTCCTTGTTAAGCCAAGCTGGTCTTTTGCCATATTTTCTATCTTTCCTACACAGCGGAATTGTTTGCTTTTGGGCCCTTAACAACGTCCCTTTGAAATACTTCCAACTCTCCTCAGTTGTTTTTCCCTTCAGTCTTGCTTCCCATGGGACCTTACCTACAAGTTCTCTGAGCTTATCAAAATCTGCCTTCCTGAAATCCATAACCTCAATTGTGCTGGTCTCCCTTCTACCTTTCCTTAAGATCATGAACTCTATTATTTCATGATCACTGTCCCCTATACTGTCTTCCACTTTCAAGTTCTCAACTAGTTCCTCCCTATTTGTTAAAACCAAATCCAGAACAGCTTCTCCTCTGGTAGCTTTTTCAACCTTCTGAAACAGAAAGTTGTCTCCAATGCAGTCCAGAAACTTATTGGATAGCCTGTGCCTCGCTGTGTTAGTTTCCCAACATATGTCTGGATAGTTGAAGTCCCCCATCACCACCAAATCTTGGGCTTTGGATAGTTTTGTTAATTGTTTAAAAAAGGCCTCATCCACCTCTTCCACCTGGCTAGGTGGCCTGTAGTAGACTCCTAGCATGATATCACCCTCGTTTTTTACCCCTTTTAGCTTAACCCAGAGACTCTCTACACAGCTATCTCCTACGTTCATCTCCACTTCAGTCCAAGTGTGTACATTTTTAATATACAAGGCAACCCCTCCTCCCTTTTTTCCCTGTCTGTCCTTCCTGACAGAATGTGCTCAGCATGTTTGTCTTAGACCTGCCCACTCTTCCCTGTTGAAGAAACAAAAACATGAACAGGGAAGAACTGTTCATTCTTCTTTTAAAAGACTAGGGGGGCAGTGTCCCCTGCTCTCTCTGCTTCCAAACTCAGCCCATCTAAGATACTGATTTGATCTTGCCTCCCTGTTGTGCCCTGACCCTCCTTTCTCCTTGCCATTATAGGCCGTAGTCCCCCCCATTTCCAACCCATCTCCCAGTCCCGCACATGCAGCACTTACCTGTGGGCTTTGCTCACCTGCCCCCGACAAACCTAGTTTAAAGCCCTCCTCACATTAACAGGAGGCCTTTTGATATTTCTTAACATTGCATAGACTGCTGTTGACAGGACACAACAGTGTAAGTGAAGATAAGTGTTTTTTTCTTTCTGTCTTAGTGCTGGAGAGACAACCTACAATCTTGAACATGCTAATGACCTGAGGGTGGAAGTGCAGAAAGTGTATGAGTTAATAGATGCTTTAAGGTAAGGAATAAATAGTTGAGAGAGGTTTTTGTAACTATTTAGTGGATGGGCTAAATCAGAGACACAATTACCTGAGATTAAAATGTACTGTACTTAATTTAACCAAACAAAGAAAAATGGAAAATCACCTAATACAGTTTGAGTGAGAATATGTAAAGACAAACAAAAAAAACCCCAATCCTATTAAGGCATGAATCAGCTATGTCCACAGTACCTCTGTCTACAATACAGGGACACAGGCAACTTCATTTGCAGTTTAAAAAATAAGTTTAAATAATATTCCTGTCTCCTTATCAATATTTTGTGGTTTTATAAGCTCACTCGGTAATTTATAATATTTGTTTCTCCTCTTACTGTGTAAGATAGACTTATGTGGGAAATTCACTATAGTGAAAGTGACTATACATAAAGTGCTGCTAAAGGCACGTATTAAGCAAATTGAACAATATTTTTCTGTAAATTTTTTCAGTCATCTTGGGTAACTCTTGTGGCAATATATTTTAAAAATCATGCTTTAATGTAGTTTGACAGTGTCTCTAACATCTGGATCTTGTTTTGAATTTTGCTTACTCTGGGCCCTTATTTTTGTATTAATTCACTGTATGTGTGTGTTTTGATTCAGTAAGAAGATTTTGACACTAGGCTTGAATGAAGAACCCCAACCTCATCCCAAAACTCTACAACTTCAGAGAATGATTAGATACTCAGCTACCCTTTTTGTACAGGTAAATAAAGCACAGGTTGCACGTATGTGAATCTTCTGCTGTATTATCTTCAAAAGCAAAAATTGGAACCATGACTAGACTCAAATTACGTGTTGGAGAAGAATAATGCTTTAGGCTATTTAAATGGTGAATATCATGCAATCTGACCTAATGAGTCCTTTAAGGCTTTTCCCTGGCATGAAGATAACTTGTGTTGAAGACATAGTACTATATGCTTATGCAGCATGTTTAAATGCCTTTCTTGGTGTGACAGCATATTTTGTGTATTTAGTTTTATCAGGGGCTTGAAACTTTGTTGAGCATTGATTTGTGGTACAGAAAAGTTGAGACACTGCAGTAGATCATCTTATTTAATGGTTTCTGTTCTTGAGTAGGCTAACAGTCTGCAGTTTGTTGGCAACATTATTTTACTAATTATACTCTTCCCTAGGAAAAATTGTTGGGTTTGATGTCCTTGCCAACCAAAGACAAGTATGAAGAACTGAAAGAGAAAAGAAAACAGGAGATTGATAGAAAATTGTACATGGAAAGACAGGTGAGGGTGTAGATCTCGCTTTAGCTGTGTTGGAGCTTTTTCGTGCAGTCACTCATATTCATATATATATATATATATATATTGTGTTCATTTAGTACTCCATTGTCCCTCAATGTAGGTGAGTAACTGTCTGCAGGACTGGATTTTGTGTGTCGTTAGCCTTTCAGGAACTGTCCCATTTCTATATGGATACATCTTGAAGGAGGTTGTGATATTCCCTGGGGGGAGACAGGCCATGCCTTGTGAGGGGGGGAAAAAAGAGTCATTAGCTAAAAGAGGGCTGGGTATGTCTGGGGGTAGGAATGGAAGAACGAGAACCCTTTGCTTCAGTTCAGTGCATTTCCCTGAAGAACACACTTGCCCTCTGTTCTAAGATTTTATATATACTTTGATACAATTTCTGTAGGTTTCATTGCATTTATGACCCCTTTAAATTAGTATTCCATTACAAGATCATCTGTTACAGAGGGGCTTGGGCAGTGTAATACTCAAATCAAATTAGGATTGCTCTTTGCACTGTCTCATCAGGCATATTTTTCACTAAGTGCACACAACCTTCAGTGAAGAGGATGACTGTTGTGCACTTCATATAATATCACTACCACTAGTGTAGAGCAGGAGAGGTTTAATGTAGGGAACTCGGGTGCGATTTCAGTTGATTTGTGAAACTAATAATAAACTCAAGGAAAAGCATTGCAAACTCAGACATCTTCTGAAGTGTGGTGATCACTTCTCTCTGGGATGGGATGGGGAGCATCATTCTGGATCATCATTAATGATCCAGAATGGTTTCCATGGAATTGGCCTTCTGATGTCATTGCGAGTATCTGCTGGATCTGAACTGTGGTTGTTTTTAAGGATGGGAAGAGGTACTTTAACTTCCTTAACTAACAGGCTGTCAGTGTTTGAAGAACAGTATATTCCAGATAATAAAAGTACTGCCTCAGGCATAACTAGAAAATGTTTGTAACAGTCTGACTTTAGTTTTTGGGTGGAATTATGTAGATTTTAAATTGTGGCTCTGAGTTTTGTCCCATTAGATCAACACAGAACATAAAGTTGACATGAAGACAAGTTTGAGCCCTGTGTATTCCTTCTATTGTAGTAGAAATGGGTAAAATCTGTTATGCTGTATCCATAATCTAAATAATTTGAGTCAGAATAAAAGTGCTGTAATCCTCCCTTTTTGAGAGATTTTTGTGCATGTCGCCGCATTCTGTAAAGGATGCTGTAATTTAAAAAAAAATAATTAAAATATTTCATTTCTGATGGCGTAACCTTCAAATAGTGCACACTGATTTTTTTTAAATAGGCTGTTTTTTCAGAAAGGGGGGAAAGGGACTGGATACAAATGCATTTTATAAACTGCATAAAATATGTTGTAATCTCAGATGTTGTAACTACTGTATATAGGTACAGAAATTTTAGGCAAAAGTGGGAGTTTAAGCTAATAGGTCTCTGTTTAAATCTTCTCTCTGCTAGGCAACACTAGAAACACAGAGAAGACTAGAGGAAAGGCAGAAAGATTTGGCTTCCAGATCTACAACTGCATCCAATGGTGAGGTCCCTTATCCAAAGAGAGGCACAGTAAAGAAATCTGAAGGTTGGTTACCTACATCCAGCTCACCTCGCCAAAGGGAAATAGCAGATCCACTTCTTCAGCAGATTGACAATATTACATCCTTTATTAAACAAGCAAAGGCAGCTAATCGTTTAGATGAGGTCCGTATGTTGCAAGAGAACCTGCGACAGCTTCAAGATGAATATGATCAGCAGCAAACTCTGAAAGCTATTGAGCTTTCTAAAAGGCAGGCAGAGGAGGAAGAGATGCAGAGGGAGCAGCTTCAGGTCCTTCGTGAGAAGGAGTGGGAAAGGGAGCAACATAAAGCAATGTCTCTACACTCAAGGACACGTTCTCTCGACTTCAGAGAAGAGAAGCAACACCAGCATGACTCTGGAAAAGAAAACCTCAACCAGATAGCACATGCATTGGACTTAGATATCACTCAGATCAAAAGCAGCCCAAGTTCTAAAACACCTTCTCCAGGTGCTATCCAGCAAAAGCTAACTAAAGAGAACTCAGTCTTCCCAATTAAATCCAGAGAAGCTCCACAGTACATCAGAGAGACAGACCAAAACCAGACAGTTTTCCTAAACCCTTTTGAAGATGAGGCAGATACTAGTCCAGCAGAAAACCCTGCTAACACAATAGCTGACCACAGTTCTCAGGTGGTGTCTTTGACCACCAAAGCCTTGCACAGTGATAAAAAAGAATATAATCCATTTGAAGATGAGGAAGATCAGCAAACAAAGGGGGCAACTGTTTGTGCTCCAGCTCCCGTTGAAGATAATGGAAATCCATTTCAAAAGTCTGTGAATCATCAGAATTCTGGCAATCCATTTGAAAAGTTGTCTTCTACCAATCCCTTTGAAGTTGATGATGATGAAATTTCAGGAGAAGACATTATAGAAGAAGAACTCCTTCTCCAACAGATTGATAATATCAAGGCATATATATTTGATGCCAAACACAGCGGAAGGATGGATGAGGTGGAAGTACTGACAGAGAATTTAAAGGAACTGAAGTGCACACTAGCAAAGCAGAAAGAGAAATCCAACAGCTGAAGCAATAATATGTCCACATAAATATAATTTTATAGTTCACTGTTACTGCTGATGGATGACGCAGATAGAATTAAAAAAAAAAAGGAGCACAGGTTACAAGAGGGAACGATGAAAAGAATGTTGAATTTTGTGTTATGCACTTTCATTTAGGTGTTTTCCCCACTATTCAGATTTGGAGAATAAAACTGACTATGCTAATACTATTACATTATTCTCAAACATTTGATAATGCAGACTTTGAATAGTATGAACTCTGTCACAACACCATTGTTTAAATTGCTGATCATCATCAGAGGTTTATTTCTGGGCAAAATGGCAAAGTGCTAATAGGGGAAAAAAGAGGATTCAAAAATACCTGTGATGCAGACATCAGTCTCTTTCCTTTTTTGCTTTGGTTGCAATATTATAGGTCAGCCTTTAAAACTGGACTTCTATTAATAAGAGACCAATGCTGCTTTCTAAAATTTTTTAGCACAAATGTTTCCCCTGAAAATAACAGTGCAAGTTGTGATACAAGGAAGTGCTGTTAAAAAGCAGGCTGCTATGATTGAGCTGCACAGTATAAAAGATACAAATCAATATGCGCAATGCAAATATGTAAAGGGATTTTTAGAGATTTAAAAACAAATTTGATAACTGATCTCATAAGTGTTTGAATTTTTTTAAATAAACTAAAAAGCTGTGGATGCTGCCATTTCACTTCCCAATACCTGTGTTTTTAGCTGCCACCATTGTGCTGGCCATAAAACACAGAATAAAAGTAGAGGGAACTGAGCTGTTCGGAAGTGAATTGTTTGTATAAAAATAATCTAACTTCCTTTTTAGAGGAAAAAAGTAGCAGAACCCAGTGCAAAATAAAAGTAAGGTAAAACCATCAAATTCCTAATTACTTTTTTTGAACCTGCACATTCCTTTGTAACTTCTGGGTGACAGAATGATCATGTGCGTATTGTTTGTGAGACTGGAACCCTGTTTACATAGCACTTAGGAAAAGCTTGTTTGCAATGGAGAAGCTGAAAACCACTAAACTGGAATTTTGTGAAAATGTTGGAGGACAAAGTTTGTGGCTATGAAATGCCTTTCAGTACACTATTTGATTCACTTTTTAAAAGATGCATTGATACAAATTCACAATCAAACTTGATTGCCTTACATAAAATAAGGTTGGATGTGTTTTAAGCTCAAAGTATGAGCCTTTATTAGGATCCACATGAATGAAGGACATCACTTTTGAAGTGTGTGCGCCCAACGTTGGTCACCTAAGCCTTTATTTAGGTAACAGTTTGCTTCAGTGGAAGATGCATGTACCCGGATCTCTGAAAAATCAAGCCACTTTTGTTTTCTAAATCTAGATTTACATGCTTCACTTCAGGCACGTTTGAAAGTTTTGGCTTAACCATGTGTGTGTAATTTTAGATGAAATAGAGATCAGTGAATATGAAAATGCAAACAGTTGTGACAGCACAATGCTTTTTGTAAATAAGTTACTTACACCTCAAATATTAAGAGGCATATGTTACTTCCTGAAAGACAAAATTAAGCTTTTTAAGCTTTGTTTCATTCTGAACAAAAATCACTAGCGTACAGCTAGTCATGCATTCCTTCCCCAAAATATTAAAATTTCCTTTTGTGAATTTTATATCATAACTGATTAAATAAATCATTATTTAAAGCAGTCACATGTGGAAGATCCTGTGTTTCTTTAAGTATCTAATAGTACCCAGAGCTTTCTGCTGCAAATTGAGCATTTACTGATTGTATTATTTAAAAGATGCTTGAATATGAATGCCATAAGCCTCTCCAATCAGACCTGATTGAGCCCTTTACCTGTGCTGTCCACTCAGTAAACTCCACCCCAAATAATGTTTTTGCAAAAATATGAAAAAAGTATCAGGTTGCAGGGACATATAACACCTCTTGAAAAATGCATGTGATCCTAGTGCCAGATTAATGAAGGCAGGTGAGGTGCATGTCTCAGTAGCTCTAAGATTAATCAAAGTATGGAATTAAAAACATTTTAAAAGCCTTAAAAGTTTAGCATTTATTCATTTAGGCAAAACTGTTTCCTGTACCAAAACAGAACTGCTCGTAGGCAGCAATCCAAAATTTATCTTGTCAATTTAAAAATAAAAAATGGTTTGGTGGCTTCAGCTTTTTACACTGGGAGACAAGATGAAAAGTATGTTCCCTTATCCTGCATTGTGTTTTACAGTCTAATACACTAAAGTATAGTATTGTATATGTAACTATGTATTTTACAAGCAGTTAAGATGCTAGTGTACCTCATGATCTCAATCAATGTTAAATGTAATAGACTAGAACTTTTTATAACAGTAAAGGTGATCTCCAAAGTGAAAACCTTACATCTATGTGTGGACTGCTGTGGAGATTACATTATAAAGCAGAAGACAGCTTATTGTCCATTAACTAACATTGATATGTTAAACTTGCACGCACTACTCTATACTGAAAATTTGTAAAGAAATAAAAATGACATGCTTATTTTGGTGTGTGTGTGTGTGTGTGTGTGTGTGCAGTAGTTGGAAAATGCTTTTCACTGTGGGTCTAGAGCCAAATAGGATCTGATAGGGGCCACCATTATAAGTGTGCAATAGCAGGGGAATTTTAATGTAGTGCTATTACTATGATTTTCTTTTAGGAGCATATAAACTTTTAAATTAAGATGTGCAACTTTACCTTCTGTCATGTCCTCACTAGTCAAACTAACTTTAACTTGGAGTGATTCCTCCACATTAGAGCAAACAACAATGAATTACTGCTGCATTATGCAATAACATGCAGCAGGACATGGGAAATATTTAGTAAAAGCAGTTAGAAAGCTATATATCTATGTAGACTCAATCTCAATCTTTCAGTTTTAAGCAACCAGATTGTTTGAGTAGGTTTACTCTTTTAAAGTGGCCTGTATTAGTTTGTACTTTATTTCTTGTAACACTATTGCTTACAATACTAGAACACCTTAGACCCATTTAAAAAAAGATACTGAATACTGCCACTAGCAAGTACCTCTTCTTAAACATACAGTATTTTATCTGTATACAGGTGAGCAAGCATAAGATACACCTTCCCCACCAATTCTACTAGACTAAAGTCTGAAAATCCATCCTAAGTCAACTTGGGGAAAAGTAGGCTTAGGCTCATGACAATGTTCAAGACTCTCTATATTTAGGCACCTTCAGTGTAACCTGTATCTTTTTAGTGAAGTCTCAAATCTGTTTCTACTGCTCCTTGATTTTCACCTTTGGGTCCTCTCACCAACATGCAACCTCCCTCCCATTTCATCAGTTCATTACTTCTTCCCCATCCAGCTAGTTACAGAAGCTGGCTACTTCTGGGTCTGCTTGTTTGTGGAACTGTCACCTTACAAACATCTACTTGGTTCTGATGATGGTGTCCCCTTTTACAATATAGCAAATGGAGAGAACTATTAGGGCATGTCTTAAGTTACAGTGGCCCTATCCATTTTCAACCCATCAGTCAGTGCTGCAGTAGCTTTCCTCAGACAGAACTGTAAGGCTACTCACTTTCACATAAGATTTTAAATTAAAGGCAGATGAACTTGAGGCAGAGCACTCCCTCTCACATATAAGCAAGTATAAGACAGAGGATCGTTCCTGGATAGGGGAACTTGCCAAAATTAAAACAAGCTACAGTTTTAAAAAGATTTATTTAAAAATGTCCTTCTACATGTCTGACCAGCATTAGTGGGTCCAACCACCTCTGAATCAAGGATTTCCGTCTAATCAAATGGACCAGTTTTTTTTTTTTGGGGGGGGGGGGGGGGGGGTTCGATATTTTTGGTTCAACCATCTGACAACCCTGTCACCAACAGGCAGCCTTCTGGCAAATCTGTTAAATCATTGTGGTTTTTCTTTCATGGTGCCTTTAAATTTGCCTGTCATCTCTTTAGGCAGCGGTACTAGACCAGGGCAGGGGATCTGGCCTTCAATTTCACACATACATTCACGCAAATGATATTTTTTGGGTCCAAAGGTTGCAGGATGAGAGAGCTTCTTTTTGTCTTGCTCCTCTTTTTGTAATGTTTCCCTGGAAGAGGAAAGAAAATTAACGATTAAGGCGGCTGTATTTCTTCCTCTCTTCTCCAACCTATTCCCTGCTGCTTAAAAAGTACGGTTGGTGGTGCATTTTTTCATAGACCAAAATTTCAAAGGGCAGAATTTCACAGAGTAATGGCTATTGGCAGCCAAGCCACCTTTCCAGGACACTTGTAGAAAGAATTCCCACTTAGCTTGGAGAAGTTTTACTTTAATAGCACGCTTGCCTTTGCCAGAGAGGAAGGTCAGATCCTCTTACCACTAAATCAGTGGATACATGTACCTCTGGGAGTACTCAGAGGTCTTCCAGAGGGTATATCAATTCATCTAGATCTGTTTTCCAACAGGTTACATAAACACTAGCACAGTCCATACAAACTAAAATGTCAGACAATGATTTGTTTATACTGCTCTGAATGCTACACACTGAAAAATACAATATAGTCTAATTGATTTGTAAATAAAGCATTTGTTCAATAACAGTTTGCTGCTACACTTCTAAGTGAGGTGGAAACAAACTCTTAAAAGGGGTACAATAATCTGGAAAGGCTGAGAACCCCTGGGTTAAGAGGCCCTATCCACTTTTCAGCTCATCAGCTAGCACTGTTCCATCTTACTGTTTTATCAGCAAGAGGACAAGCACTCCTCAGTTTGTGATGTATGTGTACTTACTCGCTTTTACCCAAGATTTTTTTAATGTGCTCCACTATCTCTCTGTTGCTTTTATCTTCCACATCAACCAAGACTTGCTCACCACTATCTGCAGAGGAAAATGGTACAGAACAGGTATTAACAGGTGACTGCCTAGAAGTGTCCACCATTCTGCATTAAATGGAAGGATTTTTTGAAAGTGTAAAACAATCGCAAGACCAGGAGTGGGCAATAATTTTTGATAGGGGGGCCACTCCAAGGATTTGCTAAGTGGTTAAGGGCTGTACTCTTCCATAATATTTATAGAGGTGGTGCGGGGTCTGGGATCGATGTTGGGTGCAGAAAGGAGCTTGGGATAAGGGACTCGGGTGCAGAAGATGTGGGATATGAGAGGGAGTTCAGATGAAGGTGTTGGTTGTGAACTGGGACAGGTTCCAGAAGGGGGTATGGGTACAAGAGAGGATTCAGACCTGGAGGCAGGATGTAGGATGGTGGTTGTGCCCTGATGCAGGAAGGGGTGCAGGAGTTGTGACCTGGTGCAGGAGAGAATTCTGATCTGGAGGGGTGCAAAAGTGAGTGCAGGGGGTTGTGACCTGGGGTAAGAGTGCAGGAGGGGATGCAGAGACTTGGGTTGTGCAAGGTTGAGAGAGGATTGTGACCTAGAGGATGGTTGTAGGATGGAGTGCAGGGTCTGGGAAGGGGTATTGGTATAGGAGAAGGGGTGCAAAGGGTTTGGATTATGTGGGATTGGGATAGAGGAAGTTGCTGGGGTGCCAGAATCAGGGTCTGGCCAGGAGGTACTCACCTGGGCAGCTCCCAGCCAGCAGCCCAGCATGTTTTTTAGCCTGGGTCCCTGCGTGCTGCTCTGGACTCTGTGAGCCCAGGGCGATGGGTACTTCAGAACAGGTAGCTCCTATTAGCTGGAAACCAGCCAAGGGGAGCTGCAAGACTCTGCTGGGAGCAGGAGCAACACGCCTCCCCTGGGTTTGCAATGTTCACAGAACACACATACCCCCACTGCTGTCTTTTCTGAGGGTGGGACAGGTAGGGGTCAAAGCCCATGAGCAAGATAGTCAAAAGCAGTACAATGTCCTACCCATTCCTTGGTCAATAACCTTTCTGTATGCAAGTCTCAAGAATACATACCAAGCTATTAAAGGGATCTTGCAGTGGGTCTTAGCAGGTAAAACTCAGCTCCCTGTAAACATTATTTCCCTTGTTCAGATGGTCCATTGGCACTGTGGTGAAGCAACTTGTACCCAGGCCACCCAGCAGCAGAGTCCCAAATCAATACACTATCCCTTAGGCTGCACTGCCTTCCTATAAATGGATCTCTCTAGAAAGTCATGTCCATAATCCATCAACCCCATGTATTTCTATAGGCTAGCAAAAAAGAGCCACTAGAAAGTTTTACAGATTCATGGCATATATAATGTGAGGCCCTTATTAAGATCCCTCTTGTCATAGATGGTTACTATTTGGTGCTACTGGACCAAATCATTACAGCTTAAAATAGTGAATTTGAAGTGCTACAAGCAGGGAATCCTGCAGAACTTTTAAAAATCTGAGTAAAATAGTGAACCAGTAAGTCTGTGAGGCCCCTTATACAACTGTGGGGTGCTCTAACACCTTTGCTCTCTAGGCCCTTACAAGAGTGAGGCTGTTGTTACCCACCCGACTGTAAGCAAGCCTTGGGAATCACAGTCAACATAAGCAGAGCCCTGCACATCTGTTTTATATCTGCATTCCCCGACACAGCTCATTTTTGCTGATAGGGATGCAGAACCCTGCAGGTTTGGAGATCTCTGCTTTATAACCGTGGGTATGGGCATCCCGCATGTGACTGCCCACCGGTCATTTTCGCAGATGCAGACATGGCTGCGGATACCAGTTGTATCTCTGCACAGGGCTAGAGCAGCCAGCAGCTTGCGGGGGAGGAGAACGGGCGCACGGTGACCCGGGGCGGTGGAGGGGACGGGGATGCTCCGCTCTCCCGGGTACAAGCACTTACCTAAGTAGAACCTTAGGAATGGCGAAGGGGTCATGTTCCGAAACATCATGATCTGCACCCAGGGGTTTTTGTACTGAATCTGGGGGATGTTGAAAAACACAAATTTCCTAGGGGGGAAGAAAGCCAGAGTCAGCGGGACGCACTCAGCCCTTCCGAGGTGGGCGGTGACATCGGCAGCCCAGCCCAGCAAGCGCCAGTCCCAGGCAGAGCGGGGTGCACCCACCTGGCCCCCTCGCTCAGCTCCCCGTGGCTGTTGTAGTTCACAGTCAGCACCTTCACCGAGCTCTTGAAGACGACCTCGCCCTGGCTCAGGTACTGCAGGGTCCTGCGGATGGGGAAGCGGCCCTTCATGGGCATGGCTGCAGCTGGCGGGGCCCCCCGGGCCGGCACGCACACGGGCAGGCTCCGGCCCTGGCTCCGCGCACCCAGCGCACGCCGGGAGAGGGCGGCGGGCGAGGCGGAGAGACACGCCCCTGACGCGCAGGGCGGCGGGAGACGTAGTTTGGCTGCTGCAGGGCTGGGACGCGTAGCCGCAGCAAGGGGGTTTGCAGGAGCGAGGGTCGGAAGAGGAAGGGGAGGGGGCGAAAGAAGCGAACTAAGGGACAGGAGGAAGGAAAGACCTGGGGTATGTCGAGAGCAGGTAGCCCCAGGGGAACGCTGCAGCCTGAGTCACCTGCCTGGCTTTCCTGGGCACCTGTTTGCTTCATGTAGTGGCCGGAAAATGCTTCCTAGCCCTTTGCTGTGGGACTGGTTCAGCTGCCTGCTCTCGTTAACAGGAGCACTTCTTGGGCGCCACGGCATTAATCCTAGGCAGAAACGGAGTTGGTGGCCTTAAAAATACCGACACAGAAAGCTTGCTCCAGCGTGGTGGGTAGGCGGGCGTTGAAGAGAAATGAAAGCAGGGGTTATGTAGGGCCTTGTAAATGAGGCTGAAGAACTTGAATGTTATTTGAAACCAAAGGCAAGATTAATGGCGGAGTTAACTTGGTTGTAGGAGAATAGGGAAATTATTCTGGAAGCAGGGAGACCAGTCAGTAAAAAGCAACAACAATCAAGGCAAGAGGCGGATCGTTTCAGACAAGGGTTTAAGCCATGGTTATAGTACAGAAGAGGACAAATTTGAATATATGGAAGCATATGTTGATGCAGAATTTGTAAGGTGGACAGAAAGCCAACATGGACAGAAGTGACAGGAGTTAACTGGAGACAGGAATTCGGGAAAGGAGAGAAGAGAGTCAAAAGAGGGCACTGAGTTTATGGATTACAAGGAAAGTGAAGTTGCTGCTAAGACTGAAAAAACGATAGTGCTTGCTGTTTTCCATCTGTCAGTGTGCATCCCTTTCATAACAATGTCCTATTGATTCAAATTAGATTTTAAGTACATTCAGTAATCCAGATTTTGCATTTCATTTTTCCTTTGTATTCATATGGTCACAAAAGGCTTATTTATTGAATTTCTGGGATTTTTTGAGATGTGACATGAATACACATTTTTGTTAGTGGCAAAACAGCCATTATTGTCAAATATGAAGAATGAATTTTGTACTCATGAAAGTGAGGGACCAATTATACTTGCAAGCCGAAGAAAGATCTTGGAGTCTTTGTGGGTAGTTATCTGAAAAAACCCCAACAGCAATAGAGGTGCAGAAGCAGTCTAAAAACTAACACAATATTAAGAGCCATTAACAAAGGGCTAAGATTATAAAACAGAAAATATCATAATGCCACGACCTGAATCAATGGTACACCAACACCTTGAATACTGCATGCATTTCTGGTTATTCCATCTAAAAAATGACACATTAGAATTGGAAAAAGTACAGAGAAGAGCAATGGAAAATTATTAGGTGTATAGAACAGTTTCTGTACAAGAAGAGATTAAAAAGAAGAGATTAAAAGACTGGAACTATTCATCTTAGAAAAAGAGACAACTAGGGCAATATGATAGTGGTCCATAAATTCATGAATGGTGTAGAGGTGAATAAGGGAGTGTCATTTACCCCAAGACATAACACAAGAACTAGGGGTCACCCAATGAAATTAATAGGCAGCAGGTTTAAAACTAAAGGAAGTAATACTTCATATGTCTCGTTATCTGGGATGTTGTGATGACCAAAAGTATAACAGGGATCAAAAAATAATTAGATAAAGGCATGCCAGATAAGCCTATCAATAGGTGTTAGCTAAGATGGTAAGTGATACTAGCCCATGCTTTGGATGTCTTTAAACCTTCAGCTACCAGAAGCTGGGAGTACAGGGGATGGATCACTTGATAACTTCCCTGTTCTGTTCATTCCTCTGTGCAGCATCTGGCATGGGCCACTGTGGGAAGACATGATATTGGGCTAGGTGGACCATTGGTCTGACTCAGAATGGCAGTTCTTATGTTCTTAAGGGTAAATATCTCTCAAAATAAATCATTTGATGGGAGAATCTCAGCCACACTTACTTGCAGCAGTGGGAGGGAGTCTAGTGATCTGGCCCAGCCTGCTCTACTGGCTTCCTGCTGTGTTCTGCTTTCCGCTACTGGTGTGGGGGTGGTTCCAACCTCTTCACTAAACTTCATCCCCCAGCAATGTAGCTCAGGGGACTAGTAGGGGGCTTGGTGGTCAGGACGCCCCCGCACTCACTGATGGCAGCAGGAAGTGGAGTGACCTAGCCCAGGCTACTCTGCTCCCCTGGCTCCAAGCTGCATTGTTTGGGAGAGAGGATGGGGGGGAAGAGTGCATAGGGAAGTGGAACGACGAGGCCAGGAGCTGGCGGAGTGGAGCAGAGCAGGCTGATTCTGGGTCACTCCACTTCTGCCACCATTGCTGGTGAGTGCAGAGGGCACCCCACTAGTCCTGCAGAATGCATTGCTCAGGCGACGGGACTTGAGTGACAAGGTTAAGTGTGGGTAGCGCAGGTGGAGGCAGGGCCTGGGGCAGAATGGTGGCAAGATGGGGATAGGAAGAGGTAGGGCCCTCTTTCAGGTTAGGGGTGGTATGGGGAGGAGTCGCGTGGGGCAGTCACATGACCAGTGCCCCTCTTGTGTCCCTCCCCGAAGCAGTCCCCACTGACTCCCTGATTTCTTTCTATTAGTTGTTAAACCTTTAGTTTGTTTATTACAGGAGTGGCTAGAGGCATCATCTTTGGGGTGAAGTATAAGGCACAAATTGATCAGGGGAAGGTAACTGGTCTTGGATTGGAAGCCACCTGAATATTTTTTTTTATATTTTTGGTGTAAACGACCATTGAAAGTCAAGACAGACTGGAGAGCCCAAGAGGACTCTATGTTAAGACTTTTACAGTGATCTAGGAACTCACATTTGTAAATGGGTTGTTGAAATCTAGTTATAAAACATGCCACTGTTTGGGGTCTCTGCTCTACTTTTGACAGTCTGCCCTAAGATTAGCACCCACGGTTAGCATGTCACTCCAGAGAGTGTGACAAAAAGGAAACAGGTAAAACTGAAATTTTGGCATGAATATGAAATGATCACCCCGATTAAAAAAAATAATTATAAAAATCAAAGATACATTTAGGTTTGTAATTCACTTTAATAGTATAAACCTCATTTAGGAAGTAGTATTAAGCCACAACAATATAATGCCACATTTAAACAGCATTTAATAAAATGCATAAGCTAATTCATGCACTGCAATACTCTATATACAAACACAACAATGCAAATTTCCTCTTCATGACTGAAGACATTGATTAGATATAAAATTCAGATTAAAAAACTCATGCTATTATTTTTAAATGCCATCACACATACAAAGCTGATTTCACAAAGGTGTGAGAAAGCAACAGCTTTAATAGGTTTTAAACCTGAAATTAAAAAATAATGGCATAAACAGTTTCCTAAACAATGAAGAACAGAGAGTTCCAAAAAACATCCCAAGGAACTATAGTAGACAATTCCTTTTGTAACAGATGGGGTATCTTTATAAAAGAGTTCAGACCTTGTAGGTATGCCAAATACATACAATTATACAATGAAAAATGTGTAGTTCAACTATAAAGCTGTCTGGCTTACTATATATTTTGGAAAACAGATGGATTATTGAAAAATATTCTAGAACTTGAACTTAATTTCATGGATGATAAAAAATAAATATGCTCTAACATTTTTCTAAAAGATATTCTCCACCTCTAACTTGAACTCTATTAATTCCCATTTTTAAAGTCCAAATTGTAAAACAAATTCTTAAAATGGATCTGTGCCTTCTTTGCAATAGTAGATGTTTCTAGGAACAGAGTTTTTTATATGCAACAAGCCAATTACTAAGAGGAGCAGAGCATCCCCAAGGGAATGAATTTGGCCATCTGTGATCAATACAGAAAGCTCATTTCGCATCCTGTAGTTCCTGCAAGATAGTACAGATCATATTTCATCCATATTTATATTTAAGCACATTTTATATTTCAAAAGAGGAAAATCAAACTTATGAGTTCCATAAACCTTCAATCCTAGATTATGGGCATTCTTTTTAAAATTCACGGTTTAATTATTAGTCTTTGAAATGGCTGCAGTGCTCAACAACACCCCAATCCATTTCTTAACCTTAAAATATGTTAATGAAATGAAAAAGCATTTAAAAACATTAAGGTTGCCATTCTGTTTTCAACAGAAAAGCAATAATAAAAACATTAAGGTTGCCATTCTATTTTTAACAGAAAAGCAATAATATTCAAATGGTATGATTGTCATAACACTAAGGAAGGGCCAAGTCATGCAAGAAATGTGCCCATTGATGGGACTTTTTTACATGCACAAGGCCTCAGAAATCAGGCTTGAAATGTTAAAAAGATGGATGTTTCATAAAGTCAATATTTAAAACAATGTCTACATATATTTATTAAACAGCATGGCAAAAAAGAACACATTCTTAGTATTCTTCCCAGCAAACACTTTACAACCAAGGTCCTGATTCTGTGAAAGCTTACATGTGTGAAGCGTTCCCTTTGATTTCAAATGGCAAAGGGAGTGTTCAAAGATTGGGGCCCATGATATGCACAAAATTATTCTAAGGGAGAATATTTTCACCACTTCATTTACCAAGAGGTCAGTAGATCTTATTAATTTTCCTTTCAATTAACTTGGAAATACATGAAGAGCCTTCTGCAAAAATGATTATATTACCAGAGAAAAATTAAGTTCAGAAATTCTTTATTAACAGGGGGAGCTCTCATATCTTTATTGGTAAGAATGTAATTGTTCAGTTTTTTGAGCATTTAATTTCTATAACTGAATGTTACTTGCACAGCTAACTGAAGCTGTTTTATTTTTTAAACTACTGAAGAAAACAACATTGAAACTGGAAACTTATATTGAAATTCGGTACCCTTACGTAGTTCTGATTGATCATTTCCTTCAATCTAATTGCCACTGATTTCTATTTTTGTAGAAATAAGAGCATGTATGGAGACTGTTTTAGCACATTCCTCTCTGCCCTTCTGCAATAGAAACAAGGACTATCATGTAGAGGAATTCAGTTTAAACCTGAACCTCACTCTAATTCCAATTTCCATATAAACAGTGTAGCATACTGAAACCTGAAATTTTACACCACAAAGTTGGGAGGCATCGTCAATACAGAGGAGGAATGGAATATGTAAACAGGAAGATCCGGGTGACCTGGAAGACAGGAGTGACAGAAATGGGATGAAATTCAATAGTACAGAATGCTAGGTCATGCATTTAGGGACAAAGTATCAAGAATTCTGCAACAAGCTGAGGGCTCATCTGTTGGAAGTAACATAGGAAGTGAGAGGTATGAGTGTGTGGGCTGATGACAGGATACATGTGAACCATGAGTATGATTTGGCTGTGAAAAAGGAATTTCCTCCCAGGAACAACTGATAGTGACCTTTAGGATTCTTTGCCTCCCTTTGCAGTATGTGGATACATATCGCTTGCTAAGATTATCTGGGTATATCTCACTAAATTGGTTCCCTGTTCCTTAGTCCCACCTATTTTTTGCTTATGGTACACAACAGTTTAGATTCCTGTGGGTTGTAATACTTTGGTTTAATTTCGGTTGTTGGATTTAGTGTGCAGATGCTGGTCTATAAAATAAATGAAGTCATATTAGATAACGTGGTGAACCCTTCTGGCCTTGAACTCTATGATATGTAGAGATGTAAAAGTTAATCAGTTAGCTGGTTAACTAGCTAGCAGACCCCTTAACAGGTAATGCTTATCGGTTCTGGTTAACTGGTGGGTGTCTGCCATGGGGAGGGGAATGCTCTAGTCCCATGGGGGGCCTGCTGTGGACATGGGCTGCTACAGTGTCTGGAGCAGTCTCTGTCTGTGGCGAACCCAGACACTCTGCAGGCAGGGATGCTCTGCCCAGGCCTGCCACAGAGAGGGCTGGGCTGGAGCAGCCTCTGCTTTTGGTGGCTGGGCTGCTCCAGCTTAGCCATGGCAGCAAGGGAACTGCTCCAGCCTAGTGGGGCTGGAGCAGACCCCAGACCCATGACCCTTTAATTGGTTAACTCAGTGGTCCCCAACATGGTGCCCACAGGTGCCATGGCGCCCGCTGGGGCATTTATGTGTGCCCACCTAGTGACCAGGACCGGCCCGAGCCATTCTTGCACCCCAGGCACCCAGTGCATGCGCAGCCCCTGCCCCAGGCGCGCGGCACATGCGCAGTGCTGCCCCCGGGCACCCGGCAGCCCCAAAAGGTTGGGGATCACTGGGTTAACTGGTTAAACAGTTAATCAATTATACAGGATTTTACACCCCTAAAGACATGACTGTTATGACTTTTACTTTATTTTTCAGGATATAGTCCAAAGATATATTGTAACCTTTTTTTTTTTTTTTTTTTTTTTTAAATTAGCCACTGCTGGAGACTTAAAGAAATCACTTTAAAAGTTTACAAATAGAACTCTCTGAGAAAGCTAGAAAAGCCCCTCTGTGTCGATCAAGAATATAGGGGAATATTTTTTTTTCATGTTTTTGCTTGGAAATGGTAGATTCTACTAGCTCTCAGTTGGATGATTCCTACCCACCACTGAGAAAATAACCTGAAAACCTCAAACTGGAAATTTTTAAACTGTACTGAAGACAAAAGTGTCACATTCAGCCTTGGTTTAAAAATAGGTAGAATCCTACTGAAGTTAATGGAGCTGAGCCTGCTTAAGGCAGGGCCAATACTGGATCAAGAAATGAAAACTAGGAAGCCCTCGATTAGCAACTTAATAATAAACTTTCTTTTAACATATGAAAAGGGTGTATACATGGCTATGTATCTGTACAAATACACTGTAGATATGCTGTACATAATATATTAGATATATAAACACATTCATACACACAAACATACAACTATGTACATATATGCATTAGCTCCATGAGTGAGCTCTATTAGTAAACATCCAGAAATACACAATGGTAGATGGTATAAAGAAAACAGTATTTAAAAAAAGGATGGGGGAGGAAAAGCTTGAATTTAAAAATCATAATAATCCATTTTCAAAGCCTTCACTTCACCCAAGTAATGACAGACATTGGGAAATATGGAACACTGATTTACTGACATGAATATTTTTTATGATAAATACAGTACCGATTTCACAACAAAGAGAAAGTCTTAAATAAAGCAATTATAGGCAATAGTGCTTTCCAATTCTGATATATTTCATTAACTTTTAAAAAAAAATTTGTATGTGTATTTAGTTTTAACTTCCATCTTCATTAAGACTAACATTTTAAATGTTTACAAAATAATTTCACATTTAATACTGATAGCTATTAAGGTGAGTTTGATAACACAGGCTAAAAAGGGGAATTGGGGCACTTTTAGTAAAACAATAAGCCTAGCCTTATTTTGAAGAGGCTTGACAGCCCTATAAAAAAGACTTTTCAAATGACACAGCAACTCCAGAATTAAAGAGGGGAATATCAAACACACAATATAAAACAGCTTTTGATTTTTTTCACTTCTCACTCTTAATAATGCCCCCTGTGCAAATCTGAAAGTAACATTTCTATTACTCAGGTTATCGTTCTATGTCTAGTAACTCTGACGCCTCCCTGTTGTGTGTGAAAGAGCCAGCAAAAGAAGCTATGTTTGCTTCTACATCTATGTACAAAGATGTATTATCATAGCAGATGTTCTCTGCTACTATCACAGTAAGTGTATCTACCATCATACTGCTGCTATAAGGCTGGTCTGATGCACTCCTGGAATTAAATTCTGAAATTACCTGAGGCTACTTGAAGCTTTTCTCCCCATCTCTCTGCTTTTCCAGAGGTAAGAGAGGAAGAAGGAAAATCTTTTGCCTATAGGGAGATTTGAACCTGCAAGTAGTTGCTGAACAATCTGCATTTTAATTCGGCCTTGGAGCATACTTCTATGTTTTTGCCTGTTTCCCTGTGTATGTTCGGACATCCCACAATGTCAGCAATGAGCAGCTGGTACCAAGATTGGAACTATAATACCTGTTAATTTCTTGTTTATGTCAGTGGTACCTTAAATGTAATTGAGAATGGCAGAGATATCAGCACAGTTCTGAGAATCTAGTTTGTTAAAAGGGTTGCTTGAAGTGTGTGTGTGTGTGTGTGTGTGTGTGTGTGTGTACACATACCAATATTAACTTCTGCATTATCTGATATTGGGTATCCCATTGCTGTCACTATTGCAGAAGGGTGTTCCTGATCTGCCCTTGCTATAAGTGAATCTTTAGGGCTACATCTATACTGGATAGTTTTTGTGCATAAATGGCCATCCACACTAGAAGCATATTTTTGCTCAAGACAAAGTACAATAGATTGTCAGAAGACAGGGCTTTTTGCACGAGAGTTATTCCTCTTTCTATGGGGAATACGCCTTTTTGCTCAAGAGCTCTTGTGCAAAAAGGCATGTGTGGATGGACAACAGGTTTCTTCCGCAAGAAACCCATTGGAAAAAGCACAGGTGCTTTGATGGTCATTCTGTGAATGCCCATCTGAGCTTTCTTGTGCAAGAGCTCATGACAGCGTGGACGCTGTCTTGCGCAAAAGCACATGGCAGTGTGGACGCGCTCTTGTGCAAGAAGTTTTTGCGGAAGATCTCTTCTGCAAAAGGTTCTTGCGCAAGAAGCTTGCAATGTAGATGAAGCCTAGCTTGGCAGGCTCCCCTCTTCCTTGCTGAAACCCATTCACAGTGGCATTGTCAGTCAGCTCTTTGAACAAGGAGTGCTCTGGCTATGCCTCCTCGTACCCCAATATACTCCAGAACACACCCTGAGCGAAAGGCTTCTAGGGGTGAGGGGAGAGGAAACCCATCTCTGCTGCTGACATAGAAGCCTTCTTGAGCTAATGCTATTCATTGGTAAACTTTATGCCTGCCTTATACCCCATCTGTGTCAGGAACGATGGTGCAAGGGGGCTGGAGGTCAATGACGAGTCTTGCCATCTGTGACTACGCAGCCAGCCAAAACTTCCATTGGCTAGCAATCAGTTTTCTGCTGCATATAAATTAACCATTGTCTACATTCTAACCATTTAAAGATTAATCAAAATCTGGATTTGTGTATCGTAGCTAAAGATCTGGGCTCAGTTTCTTCTGTCCCATCCACCAGTTTTATATCAGAGTAACGCCACTGGCTTCCAAGGGTGAGTTCTAATCTACGAATAGTTGAAGGGAAAGGAAAATAATCTAATGTTAGTTCTGATTGTAGTTTGACCAGTCAGTGTAACTAAGGAGAATTGCTCTTATTTAGATATTTTAAATATATCGGTTTGTTTTAGGTTCATATACAATAAAAACAATTAAAAATCTTTTAAAAATATCCAAATATTGCTTACTCAAATTAACCTTTTGTAATTGCCAATAACCATTCCTTTATACTCACATACAAACTCCAAACTCATATTTTTTCTTGAAAGAATGGGAAAACAGACAGCATATCCTGATAGTCAACAGCTTTGGGAGTTATTGGACTATTATCACTCACTGCATTCAGAACAATATCAGCCAACAGAGAGTTTTTGTATGAACTGTCTTACTGCTATATATGGATGGTCAAACTAGATCCACCATGACACTTAAAAACAATTTACGTTTGAAAGCAGCACAATGAGACTTTAGCAGGTTTTGAAGATAATCAGAGAGAGTAGCAGGAACTTTAGTTGGATGCAAGGTTTTCTAGAATCACTATCAGGCTTTGTTACTTTGGCTCCTAATTTTGCAAGGTCAAATTTGGCCACACAATTAGCTTTGCAATACTAAATTTTTACCAAATTTAACATTAACACAAATGTTTCCAATAATTGTCATTATTTCAAAAGAAAAACAAAAATATTCCCAATCTATATTTACAATACAAAAATGCACATAAACAAGCCAATAAATGGCAGAAAAATAACATTTGTAATATGCTTTCAATTTTAACAATCAAGTGCATTACTAATAACATAGGCAAGGAATTTACTGTCTGAACATAGAGGATCAGGTCCTATGTGGCAGCCAATCTGTGAAGAGTTTTATTCAATGGTGTGCAAAGTTGACAAAGTTTACCTTTACACTCTTATGATCTTGGAAGCTGCTGTATGAAGCTAATTTCCTGAGCTATATTAAAGGAGCACAAGAGTTGCAATGGGAACAAGGAGCTGAAAATATGGCCAATGATTAGAATAATACAGGAACAACTTGGTTATGCCCCACTGTCCCAAGCCATGCCTTTCCCCCCTGCTATCCCAGTAATAGGTGGCTGGAATAGCATAAATCAGTTCTATGCTTCTGGTAGATTAGCCTTATATTAGGATAGTCCTTCTGGAGCCAGGAGAGATGGCTTCACAGCTAGATTATCTCAGTGGTTTGGTGTAAAAAAGCCACACCACACTGGAGTTTGGCTCATACTTTTTAATAGGCCAATAATATTGTAAATGACTGTTTTACAGCATTGCTCTCTGTAAAGCAGGGCTACTCAACACATGGCCAGGGGGCCACATGCAGCCTGTGGGACGTTTCTTTACGGCTCGCTGTGCAGTTTGGGTTTACATGGGGCTCAACACGTGGCCCACAGGTGGGAGTCAAAACAAAAAAGTCAATATAATGATCTTCTATTGATATGCGTTTTAGAAGTTAAATTCCTGGACTGTCATTGCTCATTAAAAGTGCTGTCATATTGGTAGAAATAGAGTAAATATTGAATTGTACTAATATTAGCAGAACTGACTTAAATGGGATCTGCATGTTGTGTAGTCTTGCCGTAATCTTTGTATTCATGCCCGTCAGTGTGAAATAAGCTATTTGCGTATATTTACATATATATTTGCATGTATATGCAATCACACTTAAGTTGCAGCCCTCAGCATGTGCTGTGAGTATCATTGTGGCCCCCGGAGCTTCCAGAGTTGAGTAGACCTACTGTAAAGCATACCAATTCCTTGGCTCAGTGTTAATTATAGCTCTTGAACAGCATGTGAAAAAAGAAGCCTGAAGCTTATTATTCACACCTATCCTGTTATCTGTAACTTGTATTCAAATAGCTGGGAACCTGAATATCTCCTAAGCTGTGAGATCCACTATCTGCTGTCCAAACTTCTACCATCTAAACTGCTTGTCTTAGAATCAAAATAACGTATGTTCAGAGAAAACATTTTTTAATTACATGGGGGACAGATTAGTTTGGGTCTCACAAACCATGACAATGATGCTACATGAACAGAGTCTTCATAGTTTAAAGGTGGTAATTTAAGGTTTTAAAATAAAAAGTTTAATTATGGAACTGCTTCACACTATCCTTAAATGCATTTACACTTTTAAAAAGTAAACCGTAAGTATGGGCCCGATGGCAATACCCACACTCACGCTAAGTATCATTTTATTCTACGCAAGTCTTACGTAAGTCCATGAGACTACCTGCAGAATAATGTACAAATGGTATAGCCCTATGTTTACAGAATGCATTCTATACATGTTAACTGAGCTGTGTGAAATTCACCATTTTTTATTTATAAAATTTAATGCATAAATTTTGCTCGACAGCTTAACTTTATGTGGGTTTTCTTTTTCAAAATGACTATTTTCACAATGAAAAAAAACAATCAAATTTTTGCATGTTTTCAACACAGAAGCCATTTTTACTCAAATCTGTGCTCATCTTTACTAGCAAAGGAGACCCTTTACTTGAGAAATGTACATGTTCAACATGTTTATGAAAATGATCTCAAACTTACAATAAAATTGGTTTTGTATATTTTTTGGTTATGAATATTTCACACTTCTCCAGCAATGCTTATTTGACTGCTGGAATAATTTTTACTAAATATTACAAGTGATTAAGTTACATCAGTTGCTAATCTGCAATTAACCCCCTACAAAAACAGTTTAATGTGTACTCTAAATTTTTAAATGAACAAGCAAAACAGTAAACCTGTAACATTCACATTTGCACAGAAAAGGGCTATAACTTTTCTTTGAAATTCTGTTTCCAAGGCAAGTACCTTATATGTTAAAATTCAGACTGCAACTAATTTCTAAGACCAACAAATAAACCCTTTAAACAGGGGTTTTATGTTGGAAGCGCTGACACAACCCTGCAAGTAGTGATACTATAATATAATGGCTAAGGCTTAGGTCTGCATTCCAGTTGGCCTAAGGAAGTTCAAAACGTAGGGCCTTTTGTCACTTCATTTACTATAATAAAAGCCTAGGAAGAAGATGGTGCAATACTTCAGATGTCTGCCTTTGCTCTGCATTCTGTCTATACCACCCTTTTTGAGAACCAAGGTTTCTGAATGTTATAAAGATGGTGAATGCAACTGAATTTAATGTACATATGATCTAAAATCACATAGTTGTACTTGTCAGAATGAGTGTTACAAATGAGATACTTACATCAGATGTGAATTGTACCAAGACAGGACTTGATAATACATTAATAGGCTAACCTGGAGTTGCTTAAAATCCTTTGGCTATAGCTCAGACCCTTGAGAGAGAGCAACCAACCCTTCTGGAATGTTTCTAAATCGATGTCAATACCAGAAACAAAAAAATGCTGAACTCATTATTTATATTTTTGTCACACACAAGTATGCAAGTAGAAAATGACACTGCCAAGAAATTCATTAAAGTAATTAATGAATGTATGTAATAAGCAAGAATCAGCTCAATGAAGATATAACTCTTCTGACAAAATGCTTTTTATGAATTTTGATTGTTTAAAATATTCTGTGTTAATATTAAAATAAATATTTTACATTAAAATTAATGAAATATTAGCAGGAACAGGCCAATCCTAGAAAACAACTTGTAGGTTACTACCCAAGATAAAAACAAAGATAGTTTAATATTTTAACTCCAAACAATCGGTCATTAACTGTAACTGCATATGAATGAATATAAAAAACCTGGCTGACACGCCAATTTAGAATGGAATCAGGATAGGGAACACTGCAGAAGACAGGCTTCTTAGTCTCTGGGGATGGAAGAAAACCTCATATTGTGCACTTATCCCTTTAGCTTACAACAGCATTATGGGCTTTACCATAGTCATAACCATCCCCTTTGGCTCCTATGATGGTGAGGGTCATTTAGGGCTGAAGAGAGAAGGAATGAATTTGGAAATATAAAAAGTATAGAGAGCATAGACTGCAAGACTCTAGTTGAAAGGATTGCTTCCCTGCCAGTTAATGACTGATTTTTCCCACAATCAAAAGGCATACTGATGGAATAATATCTATCATGACTGTGTTCTATTCCAGGTTGGAATTTAAACTTTAAGGAAGCTGAAATTTTCATCATTACTACGGCAAGAAATTCTACCTTCCAATTTGAGCAATTTCTGTAGCATTTGTTAATGTTGCTATTTATACTGTAGTCATTATACTTTTGTCAAATAAACCACATTTTCAATAATTTAGCAGTTTAATGCTAACAGTGTGGAAATTTGCTTTAAAGTTCCATGTTACCATTAAATGCATAACATTACTAATAGCAATTTTTTGTAGTACGAATGATTGTCTCCCTGTAGCCTTCACAGAAATCAATAGCTTTTTGACCAAAAACATATGCATTTTTCCATTTGTCCTGCTCATATGTAGAATGTTGATGACATTATCGATGTGACAAGTGCTTAGAAAGTGCTAATATCATTATACCCTGGTAATTATTAGATCTTAATTCCAAGGAAAAATTAAATATATACATACTGTTCTTCTTTTAGCAATTTTAATACTAATCTCTGACATTATAAAACTCTATTTTTGCCCATTAATAATTTCTAAATACAAAGCACATTAAAAGTATGTTCAGTAATCTATAGCCTTTTGAATGAAAGGCATCAAAACACTCCTTATGGCAGAAAGGGTCCTAGTAGGAAGTGTTTGAATAGCTTTTTATACTTTGTCATTGGAGATAAATAGACAAGGAGCAGTCTGGTAGGAAACTGATAACATGTTGGAAATATTTGTACATACCAAAATGTCATTTTTTAAAACTTATCTCTCTTAATTGTGTAGTTACTTGTTTTATTAAAATTACTTTGATTCATCAAGATGAATTGTTCCCATTATGCAGACGTGCCAGTTATTTGACCATTATACTCTGCAGTTTCCATTTTGAGGATATATGGGATTATGCTGTCAATCGGAACATTTCCGATGAGACCAGTAAAAAAAAGTTCCTCTGTAATACTAGAGCTCATCAGTCTAAGTGCTGGCAGGCGAACTAGAATCCGGGCTAACCTGGAAAAGAAGTTCAGGAGATTATGAAAATGTATAATGCAAATTAACCTAAACTATTGTGCTTCTAAAGAGCTGGATCTGCTTTTATTATTAAAGTAATTCATGAGTGAGAAGAAAGGCAGTTTATGTTAATTTCACTACCGTGAAAAGAGTATCTATGCTTATTCTTTCACCTTGTAAATTAAATGAAACATGCACAGTTCTTTAAGTCTACTGTCTAAAATTCCCAGGTTTGCAAGTGTTTCTTGGTAAGGACAATGTCTCATTCTGATCATGAGGGCATTTTCATATTTTGAAGAGCAAAATGCTTAATTAGTTCAAATAATCTAGACAGGATCACCCTCAGTTGCCTAGCAACTTGTTAATGACAAACTAGATAGCAAAAGTGGCTTGAGAATATATAAAAAGGAAGCAGAAAAATCTGAAAAGAAAGGGGAATTCTGAAGGGTCTGTTGTTCCCTATTATGCTAGTCCCAAAGTCCATGTTTTGTTAAAGTGTAAAGACAGTGACTAAAATATATAAATATGTAGATGTTAACCTTATACCACAGCTGACTTTTTAAAAGCAGTTTTACTTCCTTATACCACAGCTGACTTTTTAAAAGCAGTTTTACTTTACAATAATTCAGTATCATATCTTCTGTGTTTAAACTGGCAGGATCACATGACAAAAATTAAAATAAATGAGTTTCTTGATGAAATTATTTAAAGCATATAACGGCTCAGCCCTCCAGCAATAAAATAAAGAGACTTGTTGATAGTTAATGGCTAGCTGTGGAAAAAATTCTGTGTAGAATCAATTCTGTTAATATAGCATCTCTTGTAAATGTGTGAGGACTTTGTAAAGGACTGATGTCAGAAATCCCTTTTTGTAGGCATAAATTTGAATACTTTCCTCTATCTACATGATTTTATGCCTGCAATAAATGATTTAGAAGTGGAAGTATTCTATATTCACCCACAGGAGGTTACCAACTGCACTCACAAAAATTGAGGCCAGTCTTTGGGAAATTTGGTTATTTATGCTTTTACCTTCCCTTATTCTTTATTGAGAAGTATAGCTGCATGGGAAAATACTTTTATTTTTCAGTGGTGCAAGTCACTTCACTGGCATAAAGCCAGAGTAATTAGTAAACAAAAAAAAATTCCATGCAACTAACATTTTAGACAAGTGTCCTTGTAAATTAAGAAATGGAGGAAAAAAACAAAAACAAAAGGTAGGTAGAATTCCTTCTAGTTACAAGCTTAAGGGGCTTAGTTACTATCCTCCCATCTAAATCTTGGTTTTCAAAGGTTTAATATGTTGGCAGTCTGCAGATGCACAACACTTACTATACATACCTGTTAAACTTTAAAAGGTCAGGAATTTATTCACCAGTTTCTCTCAAATGAAAAAACTGTAGGCAATCAATCCTGCTTCTTGCCATGTTTAAATTAAACTCATCTACTTTTAAAAATGTGCAAATGAGGATTTCCTTCTTTTGTTTGAGTCCTCACAAAACTAAATTTGATTGAACATTCTTATGTCTTAATGCTGAAACCACTGGTCATGGAATCATTCAGGATATCAAAAATAAATACCTATAAGTATCTTCTGGATAGGTTTTTTGGACATAGTCTTGTAACTCCATTTGTGCCTTCTCTTGGAATTTTTCTATTTGGCTTGAACTTGTCAGACCAGGGTGATCTAAGGAAAGAAAACATTTTTAACAGTCAATGGTTTCACGCTATAAGAAGATAGGAATACTTACAAAGAATCTTCCACTTAAGTGCTTAATTAAATCTCAATAAATAATTCTGAGATTATGTCATTAATAAATAGGCTGGTGCTCTAACTGTATTTTCTGCTCACTGTTGGTTCTGTAACACATGTATTTAGCTAAAATTTAATTCCCAGTTTTAGAGTTAGTCACTCACTTTACCTAATGCAGCTGGCTGTGCCCACAGAACTGGAAGCACATCAGCTATCTGAATGCACATCAGCTATCAGTGGGTCCTATCAGGCTACAGGGTGGACAGCTTTTAAGGGCATGATTATTTGTTTCTGCTCCCTCTCATTTCAAATTGGTTCCCCTCTGGACTTACAAAGCAGAGTAACCAATCTCTTGCTTTCAAGATTTTTTTTTACTTCCAAACCTTCACTAGTTTGTGTTGTCTCAATTCCAGATGCTTTCAGCTCCTCACTGAACAGTTCAATGTTCAGAAGAACAGAAAATGCCATAGATATGACTATGCCAAAGCTTTTCAATGACAGGCTCATATGGTCATATGTTTAATGCCCTTTCTTTCTCCCTTGAGGACTGCAGTAGGCCTGTGCTTAGAGTCTTTCTCCTCCCACATCAGATAGAAGCAACTCTTACAGTGTGGCCTAATGGACAGAGACTGAATTAGGACTAAGGAGACCTACACTATAGCTGAGGTCGATTTAAGATACATAGTTCCAGCTCCATAAATAATGTAGCTGGAATCAATGTGCTTTAAGTGGACCCACTAAATCAAATGGTGGAAAATCAATCGCCTCAGCATTGTACCCCTAGGTTCTGTTTCTGCTCTGCCAACAGCGTGTTGGGTGACCTTGGGTCACTTCACTTACCTAGATACACTTTCCCCATCCGTAAAGATAGGAAAGTGAAACTTACCTCCTTGTAAAGAGCTTTGAGATCTGCTCATTAAAAGATGATTGATAAGAACTATGTGTTGTTATTCTAATACTACAGAAGAATCCAAGACAGTCTGTGAAAAATCTCCCAAAGCAACAGCTCAAGACCCTAAATTAATCTAATTAAAACAAGATTTATGAAGAGTAGATAGAGAAAATATTAAAGAAAAAAAAGAGGCTAAATACTTTGTAAAACTCAGCAAGGTAGATGAGATAGAATTAGTTACAGTGGAAATAGAAAGTAAATACCCTACAGTTCTAAGACAAGCACTTCCCTCTCACTCAGCCGGTCAGGATTCTTATATACTCGTTCAATTTCTGAGGAACATATTTAACTCCTCTTCACTTTGATATACCTATGGATACCTCTGACAAAGGTGTGTTCTCTGAGGAAATCCTGAGATCTCATACACAATGTCCATTGTATGGGTTCTGTTTTTTTTAGTTTATCAGCTCATATGCTCATTGTCCTTGTTAACAAATTGGTGGTAGGGGGAACGATATTGTGTGTAGTGGTGGCTGTATCTAAACCACAGTAGAATTTCATCTCACATCTGCATCTTCTACCCCCTTTTGCATATTCTTAATAAAAGAATGTTAACACTGAAACAAGTACCTTTCAATCACTTATAGCCAGAGGATATATTTTCCCAATCATTTTTACCATTAATTATATTCCATATTGAATGAAAACTGACAGATTCTCAGTCATCTGTCACACATACCTACTCCCAATCCTGACATGAGCATGCAGAGTAGGGAAATGGATAGCACAGCTTTATGCCACTCAGTGATCTTACATCAATATAGTCCCGTGCAGCACTATCAGAGCAGCCTTCAGGTTTCTTTATGCTGTCAGAGTATCACAAAGCAGTTTGGGAAAGGGTGGTGGTCTGAGAATTCTGCCTTTAATGCATATAAATATGTACAAAACATGTAGAATTAAACATTGAGCACGAAATATTGTGCCCCCAAAGTTATTTTTAAAAGGGGTTATTTATGATAAAGTCTAATGGTGCTGTCTGATATTTTATGAACAACTCAGTAGAACAGTCTCTTTGTTACTGGATATTTGATTCTTTTAAAAGTTTCCTGGTGTCAAAAGATAAATATATTTAAGTTCAGCATCTGAACTGCAATTACAATTAGGTCATTATAATGGTTGTTGAATACCTTACCAGGGCTAAAGAGGACTATAGCTTTAAGGTATGCATATTCATATCCATCAATATCAAGCTTGGCCATGCTGTTACAGAACTCCTGAAGTTTCCAGATGTGTTCCATGACTTGCTTTATCCTGTCTCCGGAAAGCTTATCTACAATAAGACATTACACTTTCTCTTGAGAGAGTTCAAATACATTTGAAAATTAACAAAACACATTCATCTCCTTTGCGGGAATAGATCAAATGAAATTTAAAATAATTCTGAATTGATTATAAACTTTTTTTTTAACCATTTAAAATATATTATGGATGACTTAATACTCATGGAAGTAAGGATTGAGGACCTTATAAATTAGAGTCAGGTACACTAGTGTCAAACATGATGCAATATTTTTCAAAAAGGTTTGCCAATATATCTAAACCTATCCTGAAACACCTATATTATGCCAGTGATGGGCCTCTGCTAAGCAGATTGTGCTATATATTTAAACAGGAGTTTTGGGGAGGTGGACAAAAGTGAGAGATTAGGTGCAGAAGATTACCAGATTAATTTATTATAAGTAATAATCCACTCTGGAATCACTCTAGTTGTCCACAAGTGAAAGGCTAATGCAATATGACTGTGCCACCTTTTTCCATATCTGTTTCTTTAGAAATAGATTGTGCGCTCACTTTAATATGTGCCCTTTCTCCCTCTTACGGAGCATAATTAACACAGGGTGATCCCTCAGCTTTTCATATTACCAGGTTCTTTGTGTTGACTTCATCTCCTTTCTGTTTAAATGTGTTTATTTGGAAATTGCTATACCAATTAAGAATTTTCTCAATTTTCATAGTTTTAGTTGAGCCTGAAAAAGAGATGTATGGGGGTCTTGGTGTTTCAGAAAGAGTTAGCTGAAAAAGGAAGAAATACTCTTGGGCATGTTTACACTAGGAATCTATTTCGAAATACAGTAAAACCTGTGTTAAATTACAGTCAGGTACACTAGTGACAAACGGGGATTAGGTCATGCCGGTTTTCTGAAAATTCTGGATATCTGAGAGGCAGGAGCCATGTGGGGGCTGGGATGTGGCCTTCTGGGGGGGGGCCACGAGCCAT